AAAAAAAGTTTTAGATAGACACGCTTCACATTCGGGCTTATAGTAAAATTTATATATAAAAAAAAAATATTTGTTCAAATGACTCATAATTTGCCAATTAAATAATGTGATAGTTTGTTCAGATTCAGGTGAAGAACTAGTTTTTCTAGGCAAAAAGCCTATGGTTGGCACAGTTATTTTATGTGTATTACCATGGTATCAAAGTTTTAAAATAAGCAAGAGTTCTTATTTTATCTTTAACAAAATAATTAATATTATTATATGCATAAATTAAAATTTAAACATAAAAAATCATGATTATAATGTATCTCTTAAAATTATTATCGAATCACTTTGTAATTGTTTAATACTTACAGTAAATTTTTTAAAATTTTATATCTATATTAGGTAACTCATTTATTTCAAAAAGTATTTGATATATCTATTAGCTGTCTTTCAACTGCAAAACAACCTGAACGAGAAAGATATGAAATGATTAGTAAAAATTACTTTGCTGTTCGTTTTAATTGTAAACCACTATCAGAAACAAAAGATTGGATAATTAGTAAACTAGCACGAACCATCTTTCGAAAGGGATTAATTAAGAAAAACAAAATTTTTCAGCTTGGAACTTTCCTGATTCAAAAATTGTTATCTGGCAACTATCAAGTTGTTAAGCCACTACATGTTTCTTTACAGTCAGTTGTACTTCCTAAAGATATAGAAGACAAAGACTATATGAAATATTAGCAAAAATAGGTATCTCAAGATTGGTTAGAAATAGAACTTTTAAATTTAGATATTGATGAAAGTAATGAGTCAGATATAGATAAGATGAATGATACTAAACTTTCTATTACCTCAGCAACCATAGCAGTACAACTAAAAGACAAAAGCATTACTATTGATCATAGAAATCAAAAGAATTTTCAAGAGGCAAAATTATTCTGCATATCAAAAGCTACTTCATATTTAGGTTCTATGTCAAACATGAAATTAACATCTAGTCAAAAAGACTATAAAAAGCCAAATCAAGAAGTTAAAACTAATAAAATAAAATAAAAATTAAATAGCATTTCAAATTCATTTAAAAAATATTTAAAAGAAAGCAATAATTTACATATTTGCATAGAATAGTTTTATTTAATACACTATTTAACTTATTACAACATGCAAATTTTTCATTATGCTAAAAAATAATTAATTAATATATAGCTTATATTTAAATGATCTAAATAAGTAATTTTTTATTATTAGAAAGCATTGTGTCAAGCGAAATCTATAAATTTGTTAAATTTGACTAAAATCCTTTATATATTAGCAAGTATTTAGCAATGTTTAATTATATAATTTTACTATACTTGATCTATATTTATCTAATTATTAGAGCATATTTAGCCAGTTCAATTATTTTTAATAAATATTCAGCTAAATTTTCAACAAGTATTCAGTCTAAGATCTTTTATTTATTAATAACCATTTAGCTAATCTAAATTTATAATAATAAGAATTACCAAATTTCTAATAATATACATATTGCTGAATATTATTATTCATATATACTAAAGTTTGGCAGAATGCTGACATATACTAGCAGATATTCAGCTAGCCAAATTGAATAAAAAATAACTATTTAATATATATTCAGAAGCCTTTTTACCAAGATAATTGTTATCCAAAATATTGCTAATTTTAGTTACTTTGACTAGTGTAATCTAGTATATCTAAAGGCATCAAGTCGAAGCTCTAGTCATATCTATATAGAATTCTATGATAAAAAAAGCCAGAATATACCAACAATAATGCAATACCAACTAATAGATAAGAGTCCAAATTGAAAGTTAATGTGAATTGGTGTATGTCTTCTAGTAACATAATGTAAGACCTATAGTTAAAAATAGATAGCGGATCTCACCTTGATTCTATGAAATATAGTTCTGGTAATATACTATATGAGAAAGTACAAATAGATTAAGTTGGTATCACTATATCAGAAAAAGAATATTAAGTCCTGAGGTGACAAACTAGTGGTAGCAGCAGGGCTTGGCTTGAGATATGGGTTAGCAATACCTGGACTGATAAGTAGAAGAATCTCTGCCAGTGGTATATTTGGCAATATAATACCAATTCTGTCGTATGATAAATCTAACTAGGTAGCAAGTTCTTGGCTTGAGATACGAGGCTTTAAAAAGATTACTTGCATCAATTATAGTTATACTAATAAAATCTGCCAGGTGATTTGCAGTAGATCGTATTTGCAGATAAACCAATTTGGAAGCTCATAAGAAGCAGATACTCAATATGTCAACTTGAAAGTTATGACTAGTATTGGTGAGACATGAAGGAATATGTATTGAAAAATATTTAAAAGAAAGCAATAATTTACATATTTGCATAGAATAGTTTTATTTAATACACTATTTAACTTATTACAACATGCAAATTTTTCATTATGCTAAAAAATAATTAATTAATATATAGCTTATATTTAAATGATCTAAATAAGTAATTTTTTATTATTAGAAAGCATTGTGTCAAGCGAAATCTATAAATTTGTTAAATTTGACTAAAATCCTTTATATATTAGCAAGTATTTAGCAATGTTTAATTATATAATTTTACTATACTTGATCTATATTTATCTAATTATTAGAGCATATTTAGCCAGTTTAATTATTTTTAATAAATATTCAGCTAAATTTTTAACGAGTATTCAGTCCAAGATCTTTTATTTATTAATAACCATTTAGCTAATCTGAATTTATAATAATAAGAATTACCAAATTTCTAATAATATACATATTGCTGAATATTATTATTTATATATACTGAAGTTTGGCAGAATGCTGACATATACTAGCAGATATTCAGCTAGCTGAATTGAATAAAAAATAACTATTTAATATATATTCAGAAGCCTTTTTACCAAGATAATTGTTATTCAAAATATTGCTAATTTTAGTTACTTTGACTAGTGTAATCTAGTATATCTAAAGGCATCAAGTCGAAGCTCTAGTCATATCTATATAGAATTCTATGATAAAAAAAGCCAGAATATACCAACAATAATGCAATACCAACTAATAGATAAGAGTCCAAATTGAAAGTTAATGTGAATTGGTGTATGTCTTCTAGTAACATAATGTAAGACCTATAGTTAAAAATAGATAGCGGATCTCACCTTGATTCTATGAAATATAGTTCTGGTAATATACTATATGAGAAAGTACAAATAGATTAAGTTAGTATCACTATATCAGAAAAAGAATATTAATTCCTGAGATGACAAACTAGTGGTAGCAGCAGAGCTTGGCTTGAGATATAGGTTAGTAATACTTGGGCTGATAAGTAGAAGAATCTCTGCCAGTGATATATTCGGCAATATAATACCAATTCTGTCATATAGTAAATCTAACTAGGTAGCAAGTTCTTGGCTTGAGATACGAGGCTTTAAAAAGATCACTTGAATCAATTATAGTTATACTAATAAGATCTGCCAGATGATTTGCAGTAGATCGTATTTGCAGATAAATCAATTTGGAAGCTCAATATAGCATAATTAAGGCAAAGCATAGTATGACTTATGGAGAAATACTAAATACAGAAAATATAGTAGAAATACA